GTGTAGGTGCCAAATTCACCTAAACTCCAGGGCCCCAGGGAGTCAGGGGCCCAGGGTTCCAGAAGCCGCCCTGCTACTCCCCTGACATCTCTCCAGAGTCTAATTTCCAAAGGAATCTGGGTCCCCATCCCCTCCCCCCAATCCACCCTCACTGTCCAGCCCCTTTCGGACCAGATGCAAAGTAACTGTCCACAAATTTTTAGGAATATCAGAAAAGAGAGTATTTTTGCATTTTTCTACAGATTTTCCTGTTTTAATGCCCATCCCCAAGTGTACATGTTAGTCTGACAATCCTTGCCCTCCTTCTCCCGTTTTTACACATCATCGTGATTAGTAGGGATGCTTTTCCTTAAAAGGACAATGGGGCTCATGGTACCAAGTCTGTTTCTTTGCCATTTGCTTCCCTGAGGACCACATCCCCGTGGCCCCCCCAGGTCGGGAGCTGGGGCCTCCCTGCACTGTGCAACCTACCAGGATGGGGACCAGTTATCATGGTGGGTGATCCATCTCTTCACTGCTGTGGGACATGGACATGATCCCCTTCTGTTGTCATTTCAATTGTGCTTCCCTGAACATCCCATGTGTCCTAAAATCCTGACCCCTCCCACCCCAGGAAAAGCCTCTGTGTTCTTATCTTAACATGAGATGTTTTGTCAGAAATCTCAGGGGTGCCCAGCATGGCTCAGTGGTTGAGAATGAACCTATGATCCATCCAGGAGATCACAGTTCGATTCTCAATCAGGGCACATGCCCGAGTTTTGGGTTCGTGCCCCAGTAGCAGGCGTGCAGGAGGCAGTCAATCAATGACTCATCATTGATGTTTCTATCTCTCTCTCTCTCCCTTCCTCTCTCTGAAATCAATAAAGACGTATTTAAAAAAAGAAAAGAAATCCCAGGGGTAAACACTTAATACAAGGAGGTGCTGTCCATCCTTGGCTAAGAAAATGACCTAAGATACTGATGTGTTTCATCATTCCTTACCTCCAATTCTACTTTTCTTGCAAAGAATCCTTTCTCCTGTCAACATAAGAAACATTCAAACCTGTGAAGAATTTTTGTGAGTTTATTTGAGACAAACTGTCAACAATTGCCAGAAAGCAAAATTGCAATAGATTGAGATAATGTTCTGAGAATGGCAATTTTGCACTTTATTTTATATATTACAATCAAAAGAGGAGACTTATGTGGGTTACATGAAATTCATTGGTGATAGATTAGGGAGGCGGGGAAACCTCTGGGATTGGGTAAAAAGTAAAACAATAGACACATACTTTTTTTACATAGGTTGGTATAGGATAGTTAACAGTCAACAATCAACTCAATAATAGTGAGGGGATTTGTGGTCTCTGCAGAGTGGTGCCTGTGCTTTGAGGAGTCCGGAAAAAGGAAAGTTACCTTTCCAAAGATATGTTAACATAGATACAAAAATATAACAGACAGGCTCAGTTAAAGTAAAGATTGACCTTTGTCAGGGAAGATGCCGGCCTAGCACATGACTGACTACCCACCATAAACTGCTCTTAGTTTAAAAGTTTTAATTTCAGACCATCCTTTGTGGTTACTTTAGGTCCTGTCTCTTATACACATCTAGATGTGTATAAGAGACAGNAGGCTCAGTTAAAGTAAAGATTGACCTTTGTCAGGGAAGATGCCGGCCTAGCACATGACTGACTACCCACCATAAACTGCTCTTAGTTTAAAAGTTTTAATTTCAGACCATCCTTTGTGGTTACTTTAGGTCTCTGAGTTTGCACGGCCACCAGCAGGCCTCCCCTGAGCTAGTCAGTTTAGCATGTGGCCCCTTTTTGTCTACATTCTCCTTCGATCACTCATATCCCACCTCTTGCCACCGATCACTGAGTGCTTAGGGATTCAGTCTGAGCTGCAGCCCCAACCCACTTGGCAATTCTCCCGCTGATGGCATGTCCCTCCTGAGCTGCCTCTGGTGGCATGTCCCTCCTTTGTCCCACCATAGGGAGATGAATCATCAACCTGCATGATGCAAGCAGCTGCAGCTTCGTCGCAGCCCGCGGGCCTGGTCAGCGCGCCCACTGCGCTCAACACACAAGTGGCCGTGAACCTGTTTGCTACCTGGGAGGTGCACTGCTCCAGCCCCAGCTGCGTGCCCAGATTGTGCAGGCTGACTTTAAAGAAGTTGGTGGTCTTCAAGGCACTAGAGAAGGAGCCCATCTCCGTGGTGATTGCAGTGAAGGTGAAGGGCTCCAGAGGCATCCTGCGGTCTCACGAAATTGTGCTGTCCCCCAATGGACAAATGGAGAGTGACCTGGCCCTGGCATTTTCGCTGCAGTACCCCCATTCCCTCAAGGGAGAAGGCAACAAATTACAAATCATGTTGCAGCAGAGGAAGCGGAGGAAGAACCGGTTTACCCAGGGCTACAAGACACTGGCTACGGGCGACATCAACATGGCTGAGGTGATGCAGCGACCCCTCGAGGGTGGCCAGGTGCTGAGCCTCAGCAGCAGCGTCAAGGAGGCCTCCACCAAGGTGGCCAATATCTGGATCTCCTCCTTGTCCAGCCAACCCATTGACGATAAGGACGGCACCGTGCAGGCAGGCCCCAGAGTCAAGGACAACCGCTCCAAGGGGGAGTATGAGAGCTTCAGCAACGATGCCATGCACAGGCAGGACCTGGGAGAGGAGCAACTGCGATGGGTAATAAGAACGACGCCCATGGCCAGTCAACAAAGTGTCCAGCAGAAAGTCCTGGCGTGGCTGCATGGTCTTGACGTGTCGGAGGAGGTCCTGGACTCAGAGAAGAACCCTATGGAGTATGTCCCCCAGGTGGAGGAGGACCTGGACCTCTTGTACGACACACTGGAGAACCCCAGCGACAGCAGCCCAGATATGGAAGATGATGAGAGCATCCGCAGCACCCCCAAGCCCACGCTCAGGCCATACTTTGAAGGCCTGTCACACACCAGCTCACAGAGGGGGATCCGGATCACCCACAGCGCCTAGAGCCAGACGGAGCCTCTCAGTCCGGCAGATGTGCCCAAGAAGACCCGGGCCCCGGGCAGCAAGCAGCAAGACACAGTGTCTCCCATTCAGTGGCCCACAGCACACGACCCCTGGGGAGCAGCCAGCACAGCCCCAGGACAGCCGGGAGACAGAGACCTCTGCCCTGGACATGTTCATCCAGAAGTTGTCATCTAGCGGGCGCATCACCAAGACTGAGCCTCTGGTCATCCCCTCCACCAAGTCCAAGGGGAAGCAGGCCAGCCTCTGGGGCCGGGGCAAGTCCCTGAAGGAGTGACAGCCTGCATGGCCACAGAACAAGCAGGCCAACAGCCTGGACAACGAGCGTTGTCTGGACCCGCACAGCCAGCTGCACATCCCCAGGAAGACCCTGTACCACCAGCCAGGCTACATTCTCATCTCCCTCGACCAGCTGCCCGAGAACATCATCGTCGTCACCACCTCCGGCCGGCAGGGCAGCTCCCGCTGGACGCCCTGCAGCAGCACACGCTGTCCCACAGGACGCCCGACTGGCTGGGCTACATGAGCTCTGGTCACCCCGCTGGGTTCCCACCCCGTGGCCAGGTACCTGAGGCGCGGCGTATGTCAGCTGCTGCAGCAGACAGGGCTCTCCGCCTGCTGCCCCCCCTTCAATTGCCATTTTTACATATTTGTGTTTATCTTACATATACTTAAAATACATATACTGTATTTTTTCTTATACTATCCAGTAAAATAAAATGTATTTTAGATAAAATACTATTAAAAATAAATTTAATTTAGTTTATATAAAATTTAACTCTCTGATCCTTCAAAGTGTAAATTCCAACATCATTAAGTACACTTACAATTTTTTGCAGCCTTCATATCACATCACAACCACTCTCTAGTTACAGAACGTTTTTATCCAGACAAACCCAGGACCTGGTCGTCAGTCACTGCTCAACCTCCCCCTCAGCCCCTGACAATCCCTAATCTCTGTGTGTCTCCGTGGATTTACCTATTGTGGATTTTCATGGGAGTGAAATCATAGCATTTTCGGCCTTTTATGTCTCATTGTGTAATGGGTATGATGAGACGACTGTGACTTGGTTTGAATAAAAACAATTTTTATTAAGAGGGAAAAATCCCAGGAGGCAAAGATTATGTGTAAAAAAGAAACCCCAATATTATTATTGTTATTTTTGTTAATCTTCACCCAAGGATATTTTTTCCATTGATTTTTTTTTTTTTTTTTGAGAGAGAGTGGAAGGGAGGGAAAGAGAGAGAGAAACATCGATGTGAGAGAGACACATTGGTTGCCTTCCGCACATGTGCCAGGGCTGGGAATCGAGCCTGCAACCGAGGTACATGCCCTTGGCCAAAATCGAACCCGGCACCCTTCAGTCCACAGGCTGACTCTCTAACCACTGAGAAAAACTGGCCAGGGCCATCTCATATCTTTTATAAATGATTGAAGACATAGCACAGTGAAAAGAGACATCTCTGATTTGGTCAAGGTTCTAAAACACTATCCAGGGAGGAGACAAGGTTGCCAGGGCCTGGTCTGTAGGGTGGGTTCCTGTTGCTGTTCCCAGCCCTCGTGCATGGTGATGTCCCTGTCTTCCAGGTAGGAGGTGACACACCTGACCTCCCACAACTGTGTGTTCGCCAGGAGGCCTCACCAGCAGCGGAAATAGATTGATTGCACTATATCTACATCAGGGGTCTAGGGTGTCTCCTGTGTGTGGGGACACATTACATTCTCCTGGGGATGGCGGGTGAGATTTTAGCTTCTTTAAAAGAAGCACAGTTTTAAAAAGAAACAATGATTGACATTTGGTTCCCCGAGGTATCTTTGTTACCACATCTAAAATCTTCAGGTTCTGTGTGGCCATCAAAGTGAGATTCGGGTGCCATTAGCATTATGTTGGAATCACTGTTATGTGACCCCTGAGTCTTCTTCAGGACTTTCCTGTGCAAGACGTGAAGGGTCAACAGATGAGAAATCACAAGCCCTGTGACCCCAAAGACAAGGTGACCTAAGGAGTAGGTTCACCAGTTTATTTTTTGGTGAAATAGTTTGAACATCTCATGGAAAGACAGCACAGTGAGCAACACATAACTGGTTGGTACATGGAAACACCGCTCGATACATTTCAACCTCAGTTAGGCTTTGGAGGGCAAGCTGCCAAGGTGGTGGCCCAGAGAGAGCAGAGAGAAGCCAGGTCCCCGGGGAAGAGAGGGCTCAGAATGTGGGGTGGGGCTCTGAGGGGTGAACTTCAGAGCCAGATGTCAGAGCTGCAGTCGCCCCCAGGGTAGCGGAGCTCATGGGCCAGGGCTGGGCCGAGGGGCTCCTTCCCAAAGTCCACCAAGAAGTTGGGGTTCAACTTCAGCCCTCCCTTCACTGTGTCTACATCAATCTGCAGCATCACGGAGCCTTCCCTGGTGGCAATGAGGAGGGGAGAAGAGAGAGGTCAGAGGGGGCAGTCCCTTTCCCCCATGGCTTTGTGAGTGCACAAGTGGGTTCCTGAGGAGGAAGCAGGATCTGCATGGTGGGGGCAGGTGGGGTGCCCGAGGAATCTTCAGAGAGCAGAAAGACCCATCTGGGAGAGGAGGGCTGGGAGGAAAGCCCAGGCTGTCTGCTTCTCACCTGATAAGATCAGGGTAAAACTGCTTGTCCCAGGCACTGTACAGCGACGTGGTGACGTAGAGACGCTTCCCATCTAGGCTAAGCTGGATCATCTGAGGGCCTCCAGCCACCCGTTTCCCCTTGGGAAAACCAGAGGTCAGCCCCCAGGACCCTGGAGGGGATCAGAGGCACCACCCAAACCCCAAGAGCTTGCTCATACGCTCCCCTCCTCCCCTTCCCCACACTTCTCCAGCGTGGACCTGAGTGCGCTCATGAGCAGGAGAGGGAGTCTCACCTTGACCACCAGGGGCTCTGGCTGGGATTTTAGCTCCTGGTCCTCCAGCACTTGCACAGGGCCTCCCTTCACAATGCTGCCCCCCAGGAAGAGCTGGGTGGAAGGGGCAGAGAACAGAGGGTGTCAGTGCGGGAAGAGCCCTTTGCCTCAGTCAGGGCTCCCCACAGTCCTGGCCTCAACCATACCTCAGCCCCCAGTTTTGCCTTTCCTGTGCCTCCCTTATCACCCCCAGCCCCTCCATACCCTTTTCCTCATGTAGTTTCTCTTCCCCTCCTTCCTCCCTCCCTCTTGCCCACTGTGCCAGGGCTCCCACCTGTCCTGTGAGTCGAGGCCTCTGTGGGTCAGAGATGTCGTATTGCCGCAGGTCCCCGTGCAGCCAGTTGCTGAAGTAGAGGAAGCGGTCATCCAGGGACAGCAGGATGTCAGTGATGAGGCCTGGGGTCGGGGTGTGGTTCAGAGGCTTTAAGGACTCCTGATCCCTAGGCCAATATCACCTCCTATTCCCACCCTCCCCTGGGCACCCACCTGGCATTTCAGGTAGCATCCAGCCCTTCACCTTCTTGGGGGGCACCTGTATAACCTTCTCTGCTGACCAAGTGCCTCCCTGAGTTGGAATTAAGAAGCAGAGTTGGAGGTGGGGGCAGATCTGGGTCTTCCCAGGGCCTATGTCTACAGGGAGACAGTGGATACAGGGCCTCCATACCACTAGGGTCTAGTTACAATGCCAGCTCCTTGAGACAGGAATCATGTCTGCTTCACCACTGTGTGCCCAGCACCTGGCACAGTGCCTGACATACAAATTTGCACAATCTTTCATTGAATAAATGAGTGAATAAGTATGGCCAGTTAGGGTTAAGGTGGAAATAGCCTAGGACTGAGAGTAGAGAGGCAGGCAGGTGGCCCTTTTGGGGGTCCTGGAGAAGTCTGGGCTGGTGGAGCCAGGCAGAGAGGCCTTGTCACTCCTAGGGAGAGGGGAATGTCATGGCTACAGGAGCCTGGGCAGAAGTGATGACAGGACGGCTGGAAAGGGCCAGAGGGCACATGTCACCTCATTCTTGAAGAAGCGCTGGATGTTGGAGCTGAGGGCACAGCCCACGAAGCCCTGGGCGGCAGCTGGGTTGTGCAGGAAGCGGATCTCCAGGGGGATGAGCCCGTCCTGTAAAGGCAGGGTCTGCACAATCTCACGGCACTGCCAGTCCCACACATATAAATGGCTTCCATACAGTCCTGGGTGGGAACAGGGCCAGAGAAGGGGCTCAGACTTGGGGCAAGTGGGCATGGGCAACAGCTGGGGCCCAGCCTTGGGCAGAAAGGTGAATACGGGTTGGTGGGATCAGGACCCCGGAGCAAGCAGAGAACTCAGCACATCCTATACCATCACTCAAGAGTATGGGGTTCAGGTGAGAGAAGTGAGGGGCTGGAGAGTGGGGCTTGGGCGCAGAAAGAGGGTATGTGTCCATGCTCCTGCCAACCCGTGGGGGAATTCTCACCAGCCTCTACATCAGCGGGGTTGAAGCCTTCTCTTAAAACTTTGGGAGCTGCCCATTCGGTGCTGATCATGACATTGTGTCGAGGTTGGTACCAGAAGTCATAGCCCAACGGTGCAGCACCCCCAGGTTTCTCCCAAGTCCCCTTCACCTCAAAGGTCTCTCCATCCAGCAGCACGAAACCCCCTGAGCAGGGAAGCAAGTAGGTGGCAAGTAGGAGCAGTTGAGACTACACCTTCCAGCCCTTACCTTAGGCATGTCCAATAGGCACCAAGTCCAGTACCTGGCACCCTCTCCTCCCACTGGGTTTTTCAGCACCTTAAATTCAGGTGTCCAAAGGGTCTCACCCAGAGGGTCAGGTGGGAGGTGGGGACTTACTCCATGCCCCTACCTCACATCACCTTCATCCCTCTCCCAGACCACGGGGGATGTTTTTCTCCCATTGAGACAAAGGACCTTCTGGGATTCAGCATCCTACGCTTCTTTCACCTGGCATCCCATTTACGGTGTGGGATTTCTGCCAGCATCTAAGTTCCATTCTGCTCACTTTATTTTCTTTATAGAGCAGACATATTATATTTATTTTTAGTTCAATATGAATACCCAGTATGTTTTTCCTTTGCTGTATATGTTATGACAAGTTGATAGTTCTTTGCTAATACAACTTGATGTCTACTCCTAAGTGTCATTAAGTCTAGGAATGTCACCCTGGCCAATGTGGCTCAGTTGGGTGTCGTCTAGTGCACTGCAAGGTTGCTGGTTCAATTCTTGGGCAGGCACATGCCTGGGTTGCTTGCATGCAGGAGGCAGCCAATTGATGGTTTCTCTCTCCTTCCCTCTCCCTTCCTTTCTTTCTAAAAATCAATAAACTATTAAAAACAAATAAATCTAGGAATGTCATGGTCCTCACATCTGGAAAAAGCAGTTAAGTAGAATCTAGTGCAGTAACATTAATCTGATGACTTTAACTGATACCTTACCCCAAGCCCTTGGAGGGTGGCTCTGATGAAATAAGTAAGCCTTGGAGAGAAGCAGCACAGTGTGGTGATGGACATGGATTCTGGGGCCTGATTGTTGGGTTTGAGCTCCAGCTCTGCAACTCACTAGCTGTATGACTTTGGGTAAGTTACTCAACCAATCTGGCCCCCCTTTCTAATGTGTAAAAGAAAGATCATAGTAGCTCCCACCTCTTAGGCTGTGTCTGCCATGTAAGACATTTTATAAGTGACAGCTCTGTTCACCATAGCAGAGATAGCAAATGTGGAGATTAAGGATCCTGAGAACTGAGATTTGCTCATAAATTCACTAAGGGTGATAGTAAATGTATGTGTTTTCTGGGGCCATATCTGTGCTCACATATTCCCCGCAGCAGACTGTTCTAGCTATAACTTTTAAGTGACTTCATTAGCCAAAGCTCATTTTCATAGAAATAATGGAAACAACTGAAATTACTTGACTGTAGTTTAGATACTGGATGAGACCAATCCCCCTGACTCTCCCTGGAAGGTCGTTCCATCCTTCCCCAGCTTGGGACCTGCTGCCCCCACAGATGTGCCACAGTGCCAGCAGGTAGGTACCTTTGCCATTGCCCTTGGGGTCTCCCAGGGTGCTGATCATCACTTCCCCACTGGCCAGGCAGTGGCTGGTGTGAAGGTAGCTCAGTTCACATTTGTCATGGATGTCCTTGGCCTCAATGACCTGGAGAGGGGAAAGGAATGACAGTAGAATCTTTTAGGGCTGGGAGTCCCCACTCCCTGCTCCTTCACTCCCCCACTTCTACCTGCTGTCCAGTCCTCTTTTCCTTCAAAATGACACAGTTTTCCCTGTGGGAATGTGGCAGAGAACTCAGTCTGGTCATTTGTGCAAAGTAGCAAGAGAGTCGAGAGACTGCTAACCCCCGAGGCAGAAAGCACTGACTTCTCCCCCTGTCTGTCCTGAAGCACTCACAGCCCTGTGGGACCATAGCTCCCCGTGGGATGGGCCAATGCCAGGGTCCACACTGTATGACCAGCAGCCAGCAGTGAGTGTCGGCTGAAGAGGAAACTCAAAGAAGTGCTGAGAGGAAGGATTGGAGGCTCTTGTCTAAGGGGAGCCATGGGCTCCTAACTGGCTAGGAAAAAATGGCTCTTCCCACTCAGTCAAAACAAGCAGCCTCCCCACTGCTCTCCAGTCCCTGCCCCACGGTGCTGGGAACTCTCTTGTGAGTCTAGCCACCTTTCTGCTGCTGAGCCCAGACCCTTCCCGAGAGCTGGAGGCATCTGGTTTAGGCCTGGCTACCTGCCCATAGGCTACGCAGGGTGGGGGGTCCATCAGGGTCCCTGAGCGGCAGGGGCAGAGAACATGCCTTGTGCAGCTTCGGGGCACGGGGCTCAGTGCCCACATCCACCACATAGATGTGGGACGAGATGAGGCAGGGCAGCACCAGCTTGGTGCGGGCCTTGGTGCTGTCCCCGTAGCAGCTGCTGCACGTGTTCCATCCTGAGTGATGCAGCTCGTCCTTCAGGTTGGGCATGGGCAGCCGGTGGATGACCTAGGATGGGCAAGGGGCAGGGGTGATGCTCAGCCAGACCACGCCCCTGGGAATAGGTGCCCACGGGACCCACTTTGGCTTACAGCGCAGTGCAGGCTGGATTCCAACGCTCCCCTTGCACCTCGGGGGAGCCCTTGTGCAATGAACGGCCTGCACCACCAGTCCCAGGAGGGTGGAGAAGTGTGGAGCTGGGGAAGGGCATCCCAGGGCCAGGGCTACAGCAGGCATCGAAGGGTACTCTGCTGCCCAAGACCCACCTACCTGGCAATACTGGGGAGACTTCGGGTCAACGTCCACTGTGGCTAGATAATCCGGGGCCTCAATGCCAGTGTTTCGGTAAATACAAGGCAGATAGATAATCTCCTCCCTGGGCCCTGGGGGTAGAAAGCA